ATGTGGGGGGTCTCCATATAGGGGGGGTCCCGGGACCTGATGGGGGGGCGCCAGCCTGCAGCCTCTCCGGGGGTAGGGGGGGGGTCGGGACTCAGCACCGACTCCGTGAGGGAGAACAGGGACACGGCCCTTTGCACTGGGGGGTGGCACGTCAGCACCCCAAAAACAGACCAAACCAGCCCAAATACACCCAAACCAGCCCAAAACCAACAAAGATGCCATCCCAGGGGGATCGCTCTCCTGAGGAGGGGGAGGAAAAAGCAACCCAAAAGTGAAACAGCCCGAAGCAAACCCTGATGTTCCCTCCCTCAGCTGGCAGACACACTGCCTTCCTGCAGTGTCATTTCTCTGATGAGAGACAGAGTTAAGGCAAAAAATCAACTTTTCTCAGCATCACAGAATCATTTCATTTGAAAAGACACTTGACAACATCGAGTCCAGCCATTAACCTGTCCCTAACAACCTGACAACATCAACATCTCTGTGGGATACCCTGTCTGGATGGACACCAACAGCAACTTTAAGTCCAATTTTACAGCTTACCGTAATTTCACTCATTTCCATTCTATTCTGTTTGTTGTTAAACATTCGGCTCTATGGTAGAGCATGGAAATCAGCTGGACAAGTTACGGTACTGCAGAAACCTCTTGGCACAGATCATGGGACTTAAACACCTGGAACAAACTCTTAACCACTGAGTAAACCAACCCAACTTTTCCCTCAGTTTATAACTGGAACTCAACACTACTACTCTGTTTGGAGGCACAGAGGTGAGGGGTGACCACACCACTCTGTGAGAAGGACGGACTGAGGGGGACCCTTGCTGCTGTTTCTCCCAGAACACAGGTGAGGAGGGAATGAAATATTATCTTTAATAACACAAATACATTCAAGTTACCATGGAAAATACGGAAGAAGATGCTAGAGCCCTACAGGTTTTACAAGGAAGAGCAACAATGAACTAAAAATTCCCTCCTGTGCTCTTTCCTTTCCCACCCATAGTTAGTTTCTTCAGTGACTTTCAAGTGCACATGACACAGAAGAGATCTGTGTGTCTGATGCACGTGAAGGGGAAAAGTTCCTTTTGGTGTTAGAGCTGTAAAGTCAGATTTATCTCCAAAGCAACTCAACCATGGACCAAGGAAAGGGTCAGGGTATTTTCAGCTCTGTCTTGAACACTGCCAGCCATGGGGCAGCCACAGCTTCTCCGGGCACCCTGTGCCACTGTCCCACCACCCTCACAGGGAACAACTTCTAAGATCTCATCTCAGTCTCCCCTCTCGGTCACGTTAAAATCGTTCCCCCTTGGCCCATCCCCACAGGCCCTTGCTCTCCCCACAAGAAATGAGGGCAGATCCCAGGATCATCCCTCGGCAGCCGCAGCGCTCCGCTGCCGGCTCAGCCAGCCCAACTCACACACCGAGTCCAAAGCAGCCACTCTGGGGAAGTCTCTTGAGGTGTTCTGGCAACTCCTACAGCATCCCAAGATCGCCATCGCCACCCACCTCGTTCCACGCTCCTGTGTCCACAGGCGGCACCGGCTCCGAGACACCAAGATGGGAACCACCAGAGGAGCTGCTCTTGCCTCCTCCACCGGTAGCTTGTGTTCCGTGGGGCAGCTGTCGTCTGCCGGTGCCTCTGCTGGAGGGTTCTGTGGGGTTCTGTGACCTCACACACCTGAACACGGGGAGTTCCAGAATCAGCCACCCCTGTGGTCTCCATGTCCCCAAGGTCATTGTGATGCAGGAGCTCTGACTGGGTCCATGGGGTGCTCTGGAGGTGCTGCAGGCATTCTCTGGGATTCTCTAGGGGTATCCCCAGGGATTCTCTAGGGGTATCCCCAGGATGCCCTGGGAGTGCACAGAGACACAGGGCCGTGGAGCAAGCTGCCCTAGTGGAAGGTGTCCCTGCCCATGCCTTTGGGGGTTGGAGCTGGGTGAGCTTTAAGGGGATTCCATGATTCTCTGCTGCGCCAATGTCGGTCCCTCTCCACTCCTCGTAGGTGGCCGTGACGCCCTGTTCCATGGCCCAGGTTGAGCTGTGACCCCTCGCATGCTCCACCTCCGGACCAAAGGCACTGAGGAAGAGCAGCCCGTGAGGGACCTCCCCGAGCCGGCTGGGCAGAGGCTGGTCCCCCCGCAGCGACTCCCGGAGCACCCCTGGCTGCCCAGTGGCCATGGGCACGATGCTGCCGCCATCCCAAAGCCGTGGCGGTCGCTGTGGATTTGCCCATTGTGACGGGGCCCCCACGGTGAGCGTGGGCTCTTTAAGGAGGGAGAGCCCTGCAGTAACCAGTGCAGAGGAGAGCCCTCCCCTCCCTCGGGAGGCTGCATCTCCCGGGGCTGCCCTGCGCATCCAGGTCCGTGTTCTTTGACTTTGCAATCCTGTTTTAGTGTTGGCCTCAAACACATTGTGGGTGCGTGCGTGGGTTTTGGGGGGTTCCCTGTAGAAACGGCTTCATGTAACCAAAAACGGGGGTGGGGTGGGCGGGGAAGGTGGGGGGGGGGGTCATTAAGTGCCTGTTGATGAACTGTCTGTGGGGAAGGGGGAGGATGGACCTCACCTCCCCCCCAGCACCCCAAAACGGGGGGGGTGGATGTGGGGGAGGGTGCCCAAGGGACAGAACCTCCCATCCCCCACCCGGGGGTGTCAGGGGGTGGCACCCCTTCCCCTCTTTATACCCGGGATGACAGAGGGGAGGATAAAGGGGGGGATGGGGGGGCGGTCTATATCCGAAGCCTCACTGACACCGATGTAAATAGCGCGGGGAAGGGGGGGGGGGAGGGGAGAGGGGAGGGGTCACCTTAAGAATGTATGAAAAGGAAACTTAACCAATAAATAAAGATTTCACAGGAAATCGAGGCCCCCTCTCCCCCCCCCCCCACGTTTCGGCCTTTCCCCATCCCCGTTCCGCGATGCTCTCCGCACTTCCGGGTTTGTTGCCGCCGTTGCCTAGCAACGGGGTCTCCCCGTACCGCTTCCCGCGCGTTGCCAGGCCACCTTCCACACCCCCCCCCGCCGCCCCGCTCACGGCCTCGTTCTGGCGACCGTTGCCCAGGCAACAGCCAATCAGCTCTGAGCTCTCCCCAACTCGTGTCCCCGTTTAACCCCGTCCCAGCTGCCCCCCATGGGGCTGAATATGGGGCCTTTCCTCACCCCTCCCCCCCATTTGTCCCCTCTTCCCCTCCCCCACCGCATACCCATTTTCCGCCCTCTCTCCCTTAAGCCCCTCCCTCTATCTCCCCGTTTTTGCTCACCTGGGCCTGCAGGGGGCGCAGCTGCGCCTGGAGCTTCCCGTTGGATGCGGCCAGAGCCCGGAGCTGGATCCAGCGACGGGACTGGAAGGGATGGAGGGGGGGGACACAAGGAAATGAGGGACCCCAAAGCCATGGGAGGGACCCAAATACGCCCCATATTTCCCCACAAGCCTCTCCCTTAACACCAAACCCATCCAGAAGCCCCAGATCCCCCTCCCAGCACCCCCAAAATTCCCCCTAAAGCCCCAAACTCCCCCATGTCATCCCCTATAGACCCAAAATCCCCCTCCAGGACCCTCAAATATCCCTCATCCCTCCCCAAAAGCGGCGCTGGGACCCTTTAGGGACCTCAACCCCTCCCCATAACCATCAAATTCCACTTCCCAGACCCCCCCCCCCCCCAAGCCCATCAGGACCCCCCCAAATCCCCATATTCCCCCGTTGGCACCCACCAGCTGCTGCTTCCCCTCCTGCAGCTGCCTCCTCAGTGGCCCCAGGGCAGTTTCTGGGGAGTCCATGGGGCTGCCCCGTAGCTCTGGGCCCTGCTGGATCTGGGCCCCCCGAGCCCCTGAGAGCCCCGTGGCCTCCAGCATCAACCTGGTAGCAAGGGGGGACCCAAAGCCAAACGTTGAGGGGAGTCTGGGGGGCCCAAAGGGGTCCAGATCCCATTTTGGGGACCCCAAAAGGGCTGCAGGGACCATGGAGGGGTTGGGGGCACCCCAAAAGGTCTCAGCACTGGGTTTTGGGAGAATCTGGGGGGGCTTTAAGGACCCCTATGAGCTCAGCACCCACTTCAGAAGGAAACCCAGAGGGGTTTGAAGTATAGAGGGGGTCCCTAAAGGTTTCTGGGGTTCAGGAGTGGGGAGGAAAAGATCATGGGGGAGGGCCCAGGGGCAGTTTTGGGTTGCAGGGGGGGAAACCGGGCTGCAGGATGCATTCGGGGGGTCCTTGAGAGGGTTTTGGGTGCATGGGGGAATCCATAGGGTGTTTTTGGGGAGCAGAGGGTGTGTTTTGGGGTGCAGGGGGGGGTGTTTTGGGGTGCACAGTGGGTGCTTTTGGGGTGCGGGGGGTTGTTTTGGGCTGCAGTAGGGGTAGATTTGGGGTGCAGAGGTGTGTTTTGGGGTGCAGGGGGGTGATTTTGGGGTGCCATGGGGCTTCTGGGATGCATGGGGGTGGTTTTAGGGTGCAGGGTTTGTGTTTTGGTGTGCAGGGGGCATGGTTTTGGAGTGCAGGGGGGGCGTTCTGGGATGCAGGGGGGTGTTTTGAGGTGCAGGGGGGGATGGTTTTGGAGTGCAGAGGGGTGTTTTGGTCCCTGTGGGACCCCCCAAAACCCCATAGAGCCCCCCCAAAACCCTCTAACGCTCCCCACCCCGCCCCCCAAACCTGAATCTCCTTGAGGTGCTGGTACCTGAACCCCGAGTTAAGGAGGAAACCTGGGGGTGGTGGGGGTTAAAGGAGGAGTTGGGGGGATCGGGGAGGATCATGGGAGGGAACTGGGGGTTCCTGGGGATCCCAATGGGATTTGGAGGGGTCCTAAAGGAATTTGGGCTCCTGTGCATGGATCTGGGAGAAGAAAAGGGGTTGGGGGGGGGGTTACAAGGGGGAATTGGGGGGTGCTGGGGGGTTGCTGGGATCCTAATGGAACTCTGGGGGGTCCTAACAGGCAAAGGGGTTTGAGGGGGTCCTGAGGGGTTTTGGAGGCTCCCCAATGAGCTTGGGTGTCCCCCCCCCACTTTGGGGTGCAGCGGATACCACAGCAGGTTCCCTTTGATCTTCTTCACGTTCCTATAGGAACAACCCCCCCCCCTCCCCCGCCATGTACTTTAGGGACCGATCCGAGGTTTGGGGTCCCTCCAGATGTTGCAGTTCCTCCCCCCAGATGTTGGGGTGCCCCCCTCACCGCGGGTGCCGCACGTGGCCCATGATGTACTCCCGGATGGGGGCACAGGGCCCCGTGCACAGCCTGGAGGTGGGGGGGAGACAAAGAGAGGGGGTCAGGAGCACCCCAACCCCCCCAGGACCCCAAAAGCCCCAACTGGGGGGTCCCGCGGGCTCCAACCTGCGCAGCTCGGGCTCGGAGGGGAGGGCGCTGGGGGGCAGCTCCAGCTCGGTCCGGAGCCAGCGGCCCAGCTCCGCCATGATGGCCGAAATTGGCGCGCTGGGAGCGCCGCGCGGCACGACGGGAGTTGTAGTCCAAGCCGGGCGCCGCCTTAGTGGTGCTGTAGGGGTGTCGCGCTGCATCATGGGAGTTGTAGTCCAGGCTGGGCGCCGCCATCGTGGCGCTCTCTGGGTGCCGCGCGGCATGATGGGAGTCGTAGTGCCGCCTGGCGTCTGTATAATGGTGTTCTATGGGAGCCGCGGGGTACGATGGGAGTTGTAGTCATAACTGGGCGCCGCCATAACGGGGCTCAATGGGTGCCGCGCTGCATGATTGGAGTTGTAGTCCCGGCTGGGCGCCACCGTAAAGGGGCTCTATGGGTGCCGCGTTGCATGATCAGGGTTGTAGTCCCTGTAGTCTATGGGTCTCTATGGGGTCTCTATGGGGGCTCTATGGGGGCTCTATGGGGTCTCTATGGTTCACTTTGGGTCGCTTTCGGGCTCTCTGCAGTGTCTATGGATCTGTATGGGTCTCTATGAGTCTCTGTGGGCTGTGGGTCTCTATGGTCTCTATGGGTCTCTCTATGGGGTCTCTATGGGTCACAGCAGGGTCTAACCATGGAGGGAGGGTCTCTTTACGAGTCCCTTGGAGGGGGAAGCAGCAGCAGCTCCAGTACCAGGATGCAGGGGGCAGAGCTCGAGACCCCGAGACCCCCCCTTTACCCCATTGCCCCCGGTTACCCCAAATTGCTCCCATTGCCCCATTACCGCCATTGCCCCCATATAAAGCCATGGAGCCAGCAGTGGGTGTGAACCTGTCCCTGCCCCATAGGGTTCTATAGGGGTCCATAGGGACCCCACTCGTTACCGGTCTCCAGCCGGACACTGAGCCATTGACCACAACTCTCTGTGTGCGGCCATCCAGCCAGTTCTTTATCCACCCAGTGGTCCATCCATCAAATTGGTGTCTCTCCAATTTAGAGACAAGGATGTCGTGTGGGACAGTGTCGAACGCTTTGCACAAGTCCAGGTAGATGCCATCAACTGCTCTACCCCTGTCCATCAGTTCTGTAGCCCCATCATAGAAGGCCACCACATTGGTCAGGCAGGATTTCCCCTCAGTGAAGCCATGCTGGCTGTCACCAAGCACCTTGTTGATTTTCATGTGCCTTAGCATGCCATCCAGGAGAATCTGCTCCAAGATTTTGCCAGGCACAGGGGTGAGACTGACTGCTCTGTCATTCCCCGGGTCATCCATTTTCCCCTTCTTGAAAATGGGGGTTATATTTCCCTTTTTCCAGTCATCAGGAACTTCCCCTGACTTCCATGTTTTTTCAAATATGAAGGCCAGTGGCTTAGCAACTTCATTCGCCCGCTCCTTCAGGACTCGTGCATGGATTTCATTAGGCCCCATGGACTTGTGCATGTTCAGGTTTTTAAGATGGTCTCGAACCAGATCCTCTCCTACAGTGGGCCCAAGGTCTTCATTCTCACAGTCCCTGCATCTGCCTTCCAAGACTTGGGTGGTGTGGTCAGAGCCTTTGCCAGTGAAGACCGAGGCAAAGAAGTCATTCAGAACCTCAGCCTTCTCCAAATCCCGTGTAGCCAGTTCTCCTGAGAGCTTCCGGAAGGGGGCTATGTTGTCCCTAGTCTGTTTTTTATTTGCTACATACCTGAAGAATCCCTTCCTGTTATCCTTAACATCCCGAGCCTATTTGAATTCTAACTGGGCCTCAGCTTTCCTAACCTGGTCCCTAGCTTCCCGGAGAAATTCTTCCTCAGCTCCATCTAAACCTGCCCTGGTGCAGCTTGAGGCCATTTCTTCTTGTCCCATCCCTTGTTCCTTGGGAGCAGAGCCCAGCCCCTCCTGGCTCCATCCTCCTCTCAGGCAGTTGTAGGGAGCAATCAGGTCCCCCCTAGGTCCCTCAGCCCTTCCCCATCACCCCTGTGCTCCAGGCCCTGCACCAGCTCCATTGCCCTTCTCTGGCCCCCTCCAGCACCTCAATGTCTCTCTTGTAGTGAAGGACCCAGAATTGAACCCAGGATTCGAGGTGCGGCCTCAGCAGTGCTCAGTGCAGGGGCACAACCACTGCCCTGGCCCTGCTGCCGCACTGGTGCTGATCCAGGCCAGGATGCTGGGAGCTTCCTGGCTGCCTGGGCACAAGCTGCTCATGTTCAGCTCCATCACTCAGCACCCCCAGCTCCTTTCCCATGAGCAGTTTTCAGCCCCTCTTCCCCAAACCTGGAGCGTTGCAGGGGGTTGTTGTGGCCCAAGCGCAGGACCCGGCACTTTGCCTTCTTGACCCTCAACACATTGGCCACAGCCCATGGATCCAGCCTGTCCAGATCCCTCTGCAGAGCTTCCTACCCTCCATCCCCCACCACACCTCCTTGGTCTTTTGGTGGGACATCCCAAATTAGGCAACCCCCACTCTGGGGCTGGCCCCCCAACTCCCGGATACCAGGGACGGGGGAGCTGGGGTGCCCCATGGGGTGTGGGTTGGGGGCAACAAGGAGCAATTTTGGGCTGAGTGGCAAAAACTCCTCCAGGTTTTTGGGTCCCTGGGTTCATCTGGGGGGAGCCGGGGGGATGGACGGGTGTGGGTGACTTTTGTGCTGCCCCAGGCCCCCACTTGGGGGTCCTGCCTGCTTTTGTGCTGCTTCAGGGAGATTTGGGGTTACCCTAGGATTTAGGGGGTACCACGATTGCTTTGGGTGCCTCCAGGGCCCTTTGGGGTGCAGTGTGGTTTTGGTTTGCCCCTTTATTGGGGTGCCCCTTTTGGGGATCCACCCCCTTAGGCCCACCTAATTCACTACTGAACCGAAAGCAATGTTGGGGTCCCCCCAGTGTGTTCGGGGTTCCAGAGCATCTTGATGGATCCCCAGGGCAGGTGTTGGGGGAACACCACTTTTCGGAACACCCCTTTTTTAGCAAGTCTGTGCCACTGTGCTGAGCCGGGGCGGCTTTGGAGCTGTGGGCTTTGGGTTTGGGGGGATTTGGGGGGATGCAGGGAGGATTTTGGGATTCAGGCTGGTCCACAAAACTCTTTGGGGTGGCTCATTAATTTGGGGGACTCCCTGTCTACCGAGACTGGGGCGTCCCTCAATCCCAGGGCAGCTGAATCTCATTGGATGCCCTAGGGAGTCCCGTTGACACAAGCGGGAGGAATTTGGGTGTTCAGAGGGATTTGAGGGTTCAAGGAACATTTTGAGGTTCAGGGGAGGATCCCCAAAATGCGCTGTAGGAGGCACATTATATTGGGAGATCTCACATGTACCTGGGTCCCAGAGCACCCTGAGTCGCTTTTGGGTGAGCAACATTCCCCCAGCATGGAGATGAATTGGGGGGAAGAGTTTGGGGGTTCAGAGGGGATTTTGGCATTGGGGGAGATCTCCAAAGCTCCCTGGGGTGGTGCAGGCATTTGGGGAACAGCCAGTGTCCCAAAACCAGGGGTTACATTTAACCCAGAGTACCCTGACTCTTCAGTGGCCCTGTTGGCCCATGGCAGTAAATGGAAGGGATTTGGGGTTCGGAAGGGAACTGGAGGTTTAGGGGGATTTGGAGGTTCATGGGAATGTGCTCAAGCTTTGCAGGAGACAAATGGAGGCCTCAAACAGGGGCTACAGCCACCAGAGACCACCCCACAGATCACTGGGGCTTTGGGATGGCGGCAGCATCGTGCCCATGGCCGCTGGGCACCCAGGGGTGCTCCGGGAGTCGCTGCGGGGGGACCAGCCTCTGCCCAGCCGGCTCGGGGAGGTCCCTCACGGGCTGCTCTTCCTCAGTGCCTTTGGTCCGGAGGTGGAGCATGCGAGGGGTCACAGCTCAACCTGGGCCATGGAACAGGGCGTCACGGCCACCTACGAGGAGTGGAGAGGGACCGACGTTGGCACAGCAGAGAATCATGGAATCCCAGAGTGGGCTGGGCTGGGCTGGAAGGGACCTTAAAGCTCACCCAGCTCCAACCCCCAAAGGCATGGGCAGGGACACCTTCCACTAGGGCAGCTTGCTCCACGGCCCTGTGTCTCTGTGCACTCCCAGGGCATCCTGGGGATACCCCTAGAGAATCCCTGGGGATACCCCTAGAGAATCCCAGAGAATGCCTGCAGCACCTCCAGAGCACCCCATGGACCCAGTCAGAGCTCACGCATCACAATGACCTTGGGGACATGGAGACCACAGGGGCGGCTGATTCTGGAACTCCCCGTGTTCAGGTGTGTGAGGTCACAGAACCCCACGGAACCCTCCAGCAGAGGCACCGGGAGACGACAGCTGCCCCATGGAACACAAGCTACCGGTGGAGGAGGGAAGAGCAGCTCCTCTGGTGGTTCCTGTCTTGGTGTCTCGGAGCCGGTGCCGCCTGTGGACGCAGGAGCGTGGAAGGAGGTGGGTGGCGATGGCGATCTTGGGGTGCTGTAGGAGTTGCCAGAACACCTCAAGAGACTTCCCCAGAGTGGCTGCTTTGGACTCGGTGTGTGAGTTGGGCTGGCTGAGCCGGCAGCGGAGCGCTGCGGCTGCCGAGGGATGATCCTGGGGATCTGCCCTCATTTCTTGTGGGGAGAGCAAGGGCCTGTGGGGATGGGCCAAGGGGGAACGATTTTAACGTGACCGAGAGGGGAGACTGAGATGAGATCTTAGAAGTTGTTCCCTGTGAGGGTGGTGGGACAGTGGCACAGGGTTCCCAGAGAAGCTGTGGCTGCCCCATGGCTGGCAGTGTTCAAGGCCAGGTTGAATGGAGCTTGGAGCAAGCTGCTCCAGTGGAAGTTGTCTCTGCCAGTGGCAGGGGTTGGAGCTGGAGGAGCTTTAAGGTCCCTCCCAATCCAAACCATTGTGTGCTTCCGTGATATCCTCAAGTCCCCTGGGGGGAAGTGAGTGATCAAGCTGTCTGGCTGGGTTTAAACCACAACAGCAAAGCAAGGCAAGGCAAGGCAAGGCCAGGCAAGACAGGTGAGACCAGGCCAGGAGAGGCAAGGCAAGACAAGGGAAGGCAAGGCCCATGAAGGGAAGGCCAGGCCAGGTCAGGCAAGGAAAGGAAAGG